ATCTATGTCTTTGCGTATTAAAGTGACACAATTTTGTACTTTCTATTGTTTACTGTATAACTGTTTTTCAAAACAATAATTCATTACTTATGGTAGCTTCTATTTATAGAAAAATAATATTAACCAATATTGGTTATATATCTAATATTATTCAGTATTGGTTAGTTTGATAGATTCAATGATGATATTATTTCACATTTTAATTATAATTTTATAAAAACCTCTATAATTTTTATAAAAATTCCAATAAATCAAATTTTTTATGTCTAATGAATAATAAATGTTTTTATGAATTTACTCTAACCTTGATTTCATCGTTTGTTGCACTCACGTTTTAAAGCAACTACGAGTGCGGTTAGACCTTTAACTTCAGTCTTATGAAGTATGAATCAACCATCAGTTTTTTATACTACACATCCAACATTGAACCTTAAACAGAACTCTGAAAAAGCCTAAATCTGTAATCTCAAACGCATTTTAAATGATTTAAAAATTTTAAAAATTTGGACCAATTTTCAACCACTGTAAATACAATAACGACGCTTGAAACAGGCGCCAGTAGATGGCGAGTGCATTAATTTGTAAATCTGCAAATGGCAAAGTAAAAATAATTGTAAAAGTCAAAGTACAGTTTTGAAAAATTTTAGTATTAGCTGGCAGATATTTCGTAGCGGAATGCAACGACGAATAATGTTTTTATATTTTGAATTAAATGTATTCTCATTTCTATACTAGCTACTCTTAACAACTTGAGATCTATCAAATAACTATATCAATGTAAGTATTACAATGGCACGTATTCAGATAAGCGCAGCTAGTATGAGGATACGTATTCCGCATCTCGCACGCATGACATACACAAAGATTTTCGCGTGGGTTCGCGGAATTCTCCTGGGTGCGATCGTTTTTGTCCTTTACACACCTGAATACGGGATTGTATACACGGCATAAATGAAATAAAAATTGAACGTATCTGCGTGCAGCAGGGAATTTTTTTCATCTTTATATGCCATTGTTGATATGTCAGCTGTGAGTATGAGAGCTGCAACCCGACGTCTCGAAAGACAAGTACGATATTACCTTTTATAGAAGCATTTATCTATCAAATTTTTCACTTCTCTTTCTTCTACTCTCCCTCCTCTCCTCGTTGATACTCGCTGCTCGAGGAAAATCGTCCTCTGGCGCGAGTTTCTAATATTCTATAACGAAGCTGTATCTCGCTCTCTCTCGCGCGCGCGCGCGTAAAGTTCGCGCGCTCGTCGTATATACACTTATAATATACGAGTGGGCGTCCCGATGTGCTATACGTAGACGACTCTTGAAAATGTATATAAGATAGTCTGAGAACTATCAAAGAAACTACATACATGCACGGAGAGTCGGTGGGAGATAGCTCGACGATGTAGGAGTGACGACGCACGCAATATTGTGCTTTTACATAGAGGTGAATGCACACTGCACGTGTGTATATTACGAACAAAGCTCGATCTCGGTGTCTGACCTGACTTTTGCGGTCTCGAGCATTTCGTTTGAAAATTATTTGAGCACCTCGCTCGCACGATGCTCGTGTATACCTACGTACACACGAGTGCGGCGATGTTAATGAATAAAACCGCGAGTCAAATTGAACGTTCGTTTTCTAAGCCATTTCTTCATGTTTATGCGTACATCGATTAATCCGCGGACACTTGTACAATACATGGACTCTCTTTTTCTCTTATCTTTGCGTGCATATAGAATATAATCTTGAATCTTCTTCTTGTAAGTATAGCTTGAAGATTATGTAAATGCTTCGACGCCGTATAGTATCCAGCCGAGTATGGGCAGACATACTTTTGTTGCTCGCGATACTCAGCAAACCGAGAGCAAAGCTATTATCCGCATCGAGGACTTACGAGAGTTATGAGCGCTACGCACAAGCACGCACATTTATTCAATTTACCATCTCTCGAAATTCCATACACTATGTATGAAAAAGCTACGTAGGCGCAATCGCATCTCGCGATACGCGTCGAATTAACCCTTTTTTCGTCTGGCATTTTCCTGATTCCTTTCTCTACGTTGTGGGTAAAAATCTCCAATATTACATATCTATGTATCCCGCGTACGCTGCGGTGCAGTCTATAGAGCGATAAAATATTCATTGTTGTAAACTCGTTGCTCTTCTCTGCGGATAGACGCATGCACGCATGTAGCCTGCAGCGGACATCAGCAGCAGCAGCAGCAGCAGCAGTAGAACGGATACTTGTGGCATGTACAGGTATATCAATACTTGTCTATACAAACTCTGATCGGTACAAACACGGTATACATGAATCGAACTCGCGGCCAGTCTGAGAAATGTAAATATTCGCTGGCGTGATTAGGATTGTTAATCGGCAGCGCGCAGTGGAGCAAACGGGAATGAAATAATTGCAACAGCTCGAGCTCTTATGTACCCATGTATACCCGATATGTATACGAGAGATGCCGAGAGCTTTGTCATGTACAATAAATAAAGAGCTCGCGAGCAGTGTGCGTAATACACGTTTGTATGTACCTATAAATTCGAGCCTCGACCAATTGCATGCTATTATAAATCCACCAATGCTATGCTATATATATATATTATATTGCGGGCAATCGCCGCGCGCTTGAGAACGAACGAACGCACAGCTCGCGAGCAATTGATATCGAAACTATAACGTAACACACACGCGTGTAATGTTTTACATTGCGTGTATTTAAAATCAGGTATGCGCTCGGGCAAAGCCACCACGAACGAGAGATCGTAATTCCTATTATATATACACGCGCAATCCTGCTGCTGCTGCTGCTGCTGCTGCACCACAGGTAAGAGAATCGCTAATTACTTTTTCCATGGCTCGCGCGCGCAGGATGACGAGGCTAGAAAACAAGCGTATACGCGTACATATGATATTCATACACAAAGCAACGAATCGCGCGAGGCACGCATGTATCGATCATTATCGTATAATAAATATATTGCGCGCATTCCAGTTCAAGAACTCGCGTGCCTTCTTTATTATTTTTTTTTTTTTAATTCACCTTCGTTATTTATTATATGGACTTTTTTTTCTTCCCTCTCATTTCATCTCATCGCTTTGATATGTTGGTATCCTTGAGTCGTGCATGAAAAAAAAAACTAACGAAATTGAAAAGCAGTGATATCTCGCTTATGTGCGTTCGCACGTACAACCTTATGTATATGCGACAGTCGGAGTATATATGATATGTATATTGCCAAAGTTCGAGCGCTCGAAAACACATACATGGACTGCTCCAGAGAGCTTAGCTGCTACTCAGCAAGAAGCAGTATATGTAGAAAGAGAAAGAGAGACACGAAAAAAAGCATGACTTTAAATGGATATAAGCCAGGCCCCGCTGGTCGTTGTTGCGATCGCAGTCGCTATTAAAAAGTCGCGCGCCGCGGCACAGCTCATACAAATGATTTTATTGTATGAAAAAAATTCTACGAACCAAATTCAAAACTCGCAAAATAAAAAACCCAACTAGACGTCTTTTGCGACCGCTTGCTTATATACACGTTTCTCCATACCAAACACTATAAGATTTCGCGACGATTCGTCTATGAGACATCTACATTCGCACACATGAATCAACTCGTGAGACAACGACGATCGATAATGGAGAATCGGTTGTCTCGCTCGACGAGAGAGACGCGTGACTCAGTCCATACTTATCCGAGATATATTATATTCATTTTTCCCCGCACTGGAAACCATGTCGAGCTAGCAGAGCTCAATGTAGAGTTATAAGAGCACAATTCGATGTATATAGCTCTGCCAGAGCGATCTGTTGAGCCGATGCAGCTTGATTCATATTTTTCTATTCGGGGAAACGCGAACTGAGTCCATATCGTGCAGCACCTCACGGTTCAACGCTTAGCAACGATACAACATTTAGTTATGAAGACTATATTTTTGGGCTCATATACAGCTCAATGCAATTAGCTAAATTTGGTTGAGCTGCTCTATTCCTCAACATGATTTCCAGTGCGTATCTATCTCACGGAGCATATATTTTATATGTAAATGTATCATATGTAGTAAATACTTGCATGTAAATATGCGAACTAGACGGCTGGCGATCCTGTGTATATGACGCACGTCGCTCGGGAGATATGCAAGTAACGGTACATTATCTGTAATAGGTTTTCATGTAAAATACAGTTAAATATTGTTATCTGCTTGTCGGTCGCGAACAAACATTTCTCCGTGAACTTTCGAAAATGTATTCAATATTATGGTAATAATATCGTACGAGGTCGGTAAGTTTGAGCGTATGAAAATGGTGCGATTGATCGGCTTTCTTCGCTCGAGTGACGGATGAGGATATAACGATTTAAAGCCCTTGGTAAAAAAGGGAGAGGCGAGGATAGTAGTAGAAGAAGAGGTCGAAAAAAGGAACATAATCGTGGTGAATGAAACATTTCTCTCTCTCTTTCTCTCTAAGATGCTCTCTCCCACCACCACTCGCGAGCTCTCCGGGTGCATGCAGTGACTTCCTTGATCTTCCTTATACATATCGCAGCTCTTTCTCTCTCTCTCTCTGTTTGGCACTATAGGAGCAACCGTGCGAGTCTTGTAGTGTCCGTGTGTGTGTGTGTGTGCATGGTTCGCGCATAAAGAAACGAGCGAGATAGAAGGAACACGCGAGTCTCCATATACCGTGCGCGCGTTAGTGTATATATATGTCTGTGTGTGTGTGTGTGTGTGCCGAGAAAGAGAGAGAGAGAAAGAGAGAAATATATACATGCACGAGAGAGTACACTCCTCCCTCGGGCCTCCTCGCGCGCTCGCTGCCTCATGCCTCCGACTCGACTCGACTCGAGACCGCGCAAAACTCTGCTTCTCCACGCCGCGCTCCGCAGCTCAAAGTCTCTGCCTATATACACGCGCGTATTTGTGCGCCTCGTGATGCGGGGACGGACGCGCCGCGCTAACATTGTACACACGGAGCAGCTGAGAGTCGAGCAGAGTAGAGAACGTCGTCGTCGAGACGAGGAGTGGACGACGTTATAAGCCGCCTCCGAAAATCGTGCGACGTCTCTGTTTTCTCGACTGCGCGTGCAGCCTGCAGTTCGTTTCGTTCGTGTTTATTTTAAAAGCCTCTCTCCGCTAACTCGCACTCGGGATCCGGTGCCAAAGCATCATCGGCGTTACGCGCGTGTAAACATTTCTCGTATACCGCTCGCGCGAAGTCGAGAATCGAAGAGCAGCCGAAAGCGAGCGACCTGCGTGCAGTGCACGAAAGAGTGTGAGCGAAATAACAAGTGCATCCGTTGTGTCCGGCTACACCACCGGCGTATACATATATACATGTATAGAGGAGTGGCCGTGGGAATTTTAGTGTGTGAAAAATGTCAGTGCCGGGGCCGGTGGGGCAGTCGCGAGCCACCACTGCCGATTGACGAATAATCGTCGTCGTCGTCGTCGTCTTCGCCCAACGTCAAGTTTGTGTTGTGCGCGAGAGTGAGTGTGCACCAGAGGAATTTTTCGTTTATATACACCGCACCGCTGCTGCCGACACAGAACAACAACGACGACGACCAGCAACAGCAGCAGCAGCATCGACATGCCATGCGGATAATAAGCTCGAAATGCCTGCACCGCCACTGCTACAAACGTACGGAATCGCTCGGATGGATTCGAAAAATCTCATGGTTCGTCGAGCGCGCGCTCACTCACTCACTCGCTTCTTCTCTCCGTCTCTGTCGTGTTTCTGCGTATTTGTTAACGATCGTGTCCGTAAACGCACGAGACGTTGTATACACATTGATGCGCGCGTTACATACTTTTCGCGCGATTCATCCTTTACCATATTTCGTATACACACAAGATCTGGTAACGTTGCTCAATTGCAGAGATGCATCCGTTCGTTTACTAATGTTCATAACTATTTAACATAATATTTAAGAGAAGAGTGGGTCAATGATTCGCATATGATTTGCTCATTTTTCTTGCCTTTTTATTTGATTGATCAATACAAATATTTCTTCTTCTTTTTTTCATTGTTTCGCATACGGCACGCAGCCTTTGGTAACGGATGCCCTCGCGTAACGATCTCAACGCGACCATATTAGTCCGATATATAAATATGATCGCTCTCTTTCTCTGCGATTCTCAGTGCCCGTGGTGCAGTCGTCGCGCATTATGCACGCTACGATATGCACGAAGCAAAAAGCCAAACGATATCGTTCGGCCGACATCTATATAAAAAAATAAAAACTCCATATTCACGTACCAAGCACATAATCGCATAGCTAGCGATTCGTATACTCGAAAAGTCGAATGGCTATTACGAATGCAGAGCAGTTATATTTCGGTTGATGCACATACAATTTATACAATCGAGGCGCGCGACAAATGCGCGCGCACACACACACATGCAATGCTCCGGATATTTTCAAACGTTCGCCTATTTCGTATGTATAATATTTGCGAATGCATTCGTCTCTTATAATGCACAAAAGAGCTAGTTCGAACGTATGCTCCAAATCTATCGTTTATATTGCCATTCAAATATTATAAAAACGCTTCTCTATATTGCATATTATACACGGCACGCAGAGAGCTTCAAACCGGCTCTCGACTATACATCTGCATGTAGTATGTGTGTGTGTGCGTGTGCATATCGGTCGTCGTCATAAAATATCGGTGAGCGAAAAAAAAGAGAAAAAAAAACTTCAACGACGTGTATAACGAGCCGCATATGAAAGTCCGATCAATTTTCATACACACGCGGCTTGCACGCTATGCGACTGCAACATGCTCGTGTATTATTTTGCGTATGTATATAGCTTTTCAATAGTTTATTATCGAGTGAAAGTTACAAAATCCGCGTCATCTTTTCTCCGACTTGTCTCGTGTGATCTCGTCGCACGATATAATCGATGACTGTGAACGTCAATTTAATAGAAAACCTCAAAAATATCGTATACAAACACGTCGAGTGTATACCCGCGAAAAAGTCGCGCGCAAAAAGCAGCAACAGGTCGTTGTCGCTCGAATTGTGTATATTATGGTGTCGCGCTGCGGGGCCGTTACGCTTTGTTTACCGCGTGAACATAATTCGCACAAAGGCCCGCGACGATGAGTTTCTGAAAATAACTGCACGTCGCGCCATAGCTTGCTTATCTTTGAGCACATACAAAGTTACAATGTCACAATGATCTCGTGTGCGTGTAAAAATATAATACTCGCGCGTGTATATACCTGCGAAATTACTGCAATCGCTGGCTTTTTATGTACGCCATACACTGCTCGCAATAATAATTCCCCAACGGCAGCAGCAGCAGCTTACCAAAAGGAAGGTATAACGAAACAAAAAAACAAAACGAAAATCGTGAAAAAATGTCACGCCAGCCGAGTTAAAATTTATAAATTTAGCCTTCGAGTTTGCCGAGAGCCCGGGGTTTTCCATATTCGGCTGCAATATTGCTCTCTGGCGATGATATAAACTTTTTTGGAATGCTTTGCATTTTTGCGTATTATATACAAGCAGCAGCAGCAGCAGCAGCAGCTACGCGCGGGGCTACGCACTCGAACATACGACGGCAACCTGTTTTTATGAAATGTAAATTTCACGTGGCATGACCATATTTATAAATATAAGATACATGTGTACGCGTGTGTATGCCTGCCACACGAGCACGCGAGATTTTTCAACAAATATTATAATGCGTAAAAATTCAATCTGGATCCCGCTCCGATCCAAGGATAAATATGAGCTTACGAAATTGAATCATTTGCGCTCGTCGGGGCGCACAAAAAATCGAGCGAAACAGGATCACGGGAGCAGGTGCAAATGAAGAAATCTAAATTCGATCGGCTTGCTGCGCGGCTAACAAATCAGAACACGCGTGTCACTCGTTCTTTTTCGTTGCTCCTCTTTTTTTTATCGAGCGATGCACACTCGTATGTATGCATGTATATAGGCGCGGGAACTCATTGACGATCGTGGCTCGTTATAGAAAGAAATCGGCGCCAGACCGATTCCCAATGTTTATCGCCGGCGCATATACGTATCGTCGACCCTTTCTTCCTTCTCTCGTTCGCGATCTCCTTTATAATAGTGTATACGTGCGCGAGCGCACACATATATGTATACGTACATATATAGACGCACATCTCAATACTCGTCCGATTTCGCAGAATTGCTATATCTCACGGCTCTTTTCTTACATAAATTATTTAAACTTATGATGATTGCCCCTCTCGCGCAGCAGCAGCAGCAGCAGCAGCAGCACATATCCTTACAGCAGCAGCGCGCACACGTAAGAGTCTCCGGAGTTGTACAGGCGCACAATTTCTTCGAACTCATCATCCAAGCTCGCGTATATAACGTATATAGCAGCTCGGCTCGCGAGCGATTATTTCATCTTGGGAGATTTCACTCGAGAACACATATAATATGTATCTATCTCTATCTCTTTCCGAGGCGCTGCTGCTGCTGCTGCTGCTCGCCCGAGACCGATCGCGTGCCTCGTCGCAGTCGTCGTATCATTGCTCTCCTCGCTCGCGAGCAACGCGCGAAATTAATTCCCAACGTGATGCAATGCGTGCATCGTCGTGATCCATCCGACGCTGCGGCTATACGTATATATTTCTCTCCCGCTTGGCCCCCTTTTTCTTTTTACTTTTTTATATTCGTGCAGCAGCCTCGTCGCGAGCGTGCGCGCGCACGGGCACGTTTCGCAAGTGTCAAGCAGTTAATTTTTAAGCGCGAGTGCAAATTTAAAACAGCGCGTCGCGCGGGACAAAGTGGTCAATGCGTATCGGCGGCCGCCCTCAAATTAACGTTTGAAATTACAAAAAAAGAATGAAAATAAAAATTAAATTACGCAAGCTCGGCTCTGTGCGTACGTGCGTGCTTGTGACGCATTAATCCTGTGCACGCGCGTGCACGGACGTCGAAAAAAGTGAAATTATCATTACTCGCGAGAGTTTCAATGCTATATATGTACGTGGTATATAATATACATACGGTCGTAAATTAAAGCTCGGATTCTCTTTTTTTCACTCGGTGCATCGCGATAAATATTTCGATTTTGCCTTTTCTCTCTGTCTGTCTCTCTCTCTCAAGGGGACGTACCTACCTACATACGGCAGTATTGCGGACTAGCCATGCAGTGCACTGCACATACAACACCGGATGACAGCGTCGCGAGAGATGTATCCTGGCGATAAAGCTTTTCTTGCCCCGTACGCGCGCGCGCAATCGCTCGAGAGAGCTGCAGCAGCAGAGAGAGAGGGAGAGAGAGGAAAGGAAGAAAAAAAAAGGGAAAGACAAAAAAAAGAGGACTATTGTACACGCGCGTGCGCGTGTTGTACGCAGCGCAGGTTTATATACATATGGTACACGTCTCTCTTTTAAGTTCGAGCGAGACTTTAGCTTATATATACGTGTTATATTGGCTCGTATGCATGTGTAAGTGAAAGGGAGTTAGAGCTCTGTGGACATGCTGCGCGCATTATAGCCTGTACTGTACGCGCGTAGTCGAGCGCAATTGTACGCTTTTAATGAATGAAACTGCAGCCGAGTTGAATGTCGCTGTGTGTATGACCCCCCCATCGCAGTCAGCAGCAGCAACAGCAACAGTTGGTATCTTGTACTATATACACAGCTACACGCAAGGGGGGAAAAAGGCCTGCGGAGTAATATATATAAGAACTGGTACATAAATTCTCTTCTCAATGAAATCGGCCTCTATCCTCTCTTGCGCCGTACGTACGTACGTACGCCGGTATTATAACGACTAGTATATACTCGTCGTTCGTGTCCCTCCTCCTCCTCCTCCTCTCCTCCTCTTCAATGGCAGCAGAAAAGCAGCCTGCGGTCTATAGATACAAGCTTTTCTTTCTCTCTTTTAACTTCAAAAAACTACACGGAGCATACTTCAACCGATGTCAGCCGCTGTATAGCTGCGTCTCGCTGTGTGACAAGCTTATTTTCTCGTCAATCCGTCCTCTCTCCCGGCAGCTTTATTTTCTCGCTTTTTCTTCCAAGTTTCTGCGCGCTGCTGCTGCTGCTTCGCCTTGTGCACGCACGCACGTATACGCATACGCACAACAACACGCGCATTATATCGCGCATTATATTTTCGGTTCCAACCCAATTCTGTTTAAAAGTTCTCGAAAGAGAGAGAGAGAGAGAGAGAGACTTGTAAAGCTGCACGCGCATAAGCGCCCGCGGCGCTTCGGCGTCCATATACGTGCATCGCGAGCTTTAAAATTTCCCAAAAATAAAATCTAGCTCGCGCTGCTGTATACAGCCCCGCGCACGCATACAAACACCCGCGTGCAGCACACCGCTCGTCTCCTTAATGGTACGAATTCGCGGGTGTTTTCTCGAATATAACGCTGCTGTTGCTGCTGCTGCCTCGCGAGAAATTGAGAGAGAGAGAGAAAACGATTCGCTTGTAATATTTACGCCTGTGTTTGCAAAACTATAAATTTTCGATACGTTCGCGAGAAAGAGGAGCTTTTTATTTTTGGAATAGTTGTTTTGCGTTGCACGCGTCGACGACGACGGACGAAAGAGAGAGAGAAAGAAAGAGAACAATTACGTATCGATGCAAGCTCTATGCGATCGCGATGAAAAAGGTAGGCGTTAACAATTACGATCGAAACGCCAAGTCTTAATTCTTGTATGCGCATCGAA